TGCAACGCTTGGACCCACAGTGCTATCAGTTTTTAATTATTACAAATTATAAAATAAACAACCTTTCACATATTATGTTAAGTCCCATCAAGTTGGTTCGATTCATAGCAACTCTGTATAGGGTTTCCGAGGTGAGTTTGAACCAGCAACCTTGAGGCTGGCAGTTCAGTGCTTATCCTAGAGCACCACACCAGGAATCCTGCATATTATATTATATTGCTGTTGTTGTCAAGTGTCATCGAGTCAGTTCCAATGCATAGTGACACTGTTAGTGACACTGTATAGAGTTTCCAAGGAGCAGCTGGTGGTTTGGGACCATCAACTTTGTGACTGGCAGTTCAGTGCTTATCCTACAGCACCACACCAGCATATGTTACTGTTTGTAGGTGTGATTCCTAGAAGTGAGAGTACTCAGTCAAGGGATACATTTTTCTTTTTGATTTCAGTAGCTAGTTATCAGAGAATTTTCCCCAAAAGACAGGCACAGTTCACCATCCCACTAGTGTCTGAGCGTGTGGGCCCCACTCCCCACACTGCCTGCCAGGCCTGCATGTTCTCTCCGTGTTGCTTTACTCTGCACTTCCCTTTGAATGAGGGTTATTCTTATTAAATGCTTTTCCCTTCTTTTAAAAAAAACCTATACACATAATGATAATTTTTCCTTTAATTTGTTGACATAATGAATTACACACAAAGCACTGAGACAGGCTTATATTCCTGGGATAAGTCTTATTGCTCAATAGATAACGTTTTAAAAATCCACTGCTGGGTCTGACTGACTGAACTGATCATTCAGCATATGTGTACGTGTGCGTTTGTACTCTCCATACCAGGCTTTAAACTCGCTTCACTAGGTTTAAGGCTGTGCTAGTTTCATAACCTAGACTGGAGTTTCCCATCTTCCTGACAGTCCCAAATCTGAAAAACCTACTATTCTTTAAAGATTAAATAGAACTAATTTGCAAAAATAATCTGAACCAGGTGTTTTTAAAAACTATCACAGATCTCTACTCATATATTATTTTAAATTATGTCTCCTTACAGTATTTTCATAGATGTTAATGCAGAATCCCAGAGAGGGGAGTTGTGAACTCAGGGTCACATTTGCTTTGGAATATTTGTATAGCATGTGTGTGTTTGACAGCCGTACAAAGCAAGGACTGACCAGTGGATGGCAGGGTTTTCTAAGCATGAGGACCCTGGTGCTCTGTGCTGGGATTTTAAGAACTCCACTCTTGGAGTACAGGTGAGCCTGAAATAAACCTGCACTGGCATGACCTACAGCTTGCCTTCCAGTCTTTTTGGGAGCCCAAAGTCCTGAAATTGTATAAAGATGAACTTGGAAAGTAAATGAACCAATGGGCTTGGAAGAAGCAAATGAAAATCACCTCTGAAGAAAGATAGTATTAATTCTCATGTCAAAAAGTTCTATAAAATGTCCAGCACTTAATCAAAGATAATCAAGCACATGAAGACATATACACCCAAAGAAGAAACAACAAAACAACCTACAACAAAAACACATCTAAAGGAAGGCCTGATGTGGGAAACCATGAGAGACAGTGATCATGTGACCTTGGAGTTTATCACAGGTAGTAAAAGAAGGCTGGGAACAGGGACACTTGAGGGAAATACATTTTGTCAACTGTAGAGAAAACAGTTGTATGATGCTATAGCAGAAATTATACTGTGATGTTGTTGTTAAGTGCCGTCGACTTGATTCCGACCCATAGCGACCCTGTATAGGGTTTCCAAGGAGTAGCTGGTGAGATTGAACCACCGACCTTGCAGTTCAAATGACTCTACAGTCTGGTGCATCAGCCCACAGCACCACACCAGGATTCCATACTGTGATTTCTTGTTGTTAAGTGCTGTTGAGTCGGTTCTGACCCACAGCGACCCCATACAGGTTTTCCAAGGCTGTAAATCTTTACGGCAGCAGAAAGCCTCATCTTTCTCCCACAGAGTGGCTGGTAGTTTCAAACTGCTGACCTTAAAGTTCGCAGCCTGCTTCATAACCACTACGCTACCAGAGCTCCTAAAATGTGATAAGGAGAGCTTTTTAAAAAGAGATGCAGTTTCTAATAAGTGAAATTCTGGCAAATAAAACCCAGTCAGACTGAGATGAAAGAAAGAGCCAGAAAGAAAAGGAAAGTAAGAGGCGTCTAAAAATCCAATACGGTTGTGTTAGATATGCTATGATATGGGCAGAACTTTAAGGGATTTCTTTAAAAAAAAAAAGAAAAGAAAAGAAAGGCACGGGACGATGGATGAATATGAAAGAATGTTGTGAAACAATGAGACTTGTGTAAGAAGAGTGAGAGCCCAGAATGCGCGGAGGATGGAGAAAATGTTAAGAACAATAAAAAAGACTTTAAAAAATACATGTAGAGCAAAAAGAACATGAAAGAAGGTTTAGGCCTACTGCTTAGGGCAGATGGTATAATGTTAACAGATGATGTAGAAAAGCAAATCTACTCAGCTCTTATTTTGATTCTGTTAAAATATTAAGGAGAAATATTAAAAATAGAAAGGGACATAAGAATCAAACTCACAGGAAATTTGAAACCTATCATACTAAGTAATTTACTCAAAGGGAATTTGAAATCTACCCTGGTGTGGTACTGTAGGATAAATCCTGCAAATCTCAACGGTGGTGGTTCAAACCCACCAGTTGCTCCTCAGAAACCCTATACAGGGTTACTATGAGTCCATGGTTGGCATTATTTGTGTATGTCTGGATGACCGATGGAACTGGACTAGACTCATTGCAAAGCAGTATCTTCCCAATAATTCTAAATAAAAATTTTATCACAAAATCCTTCTTAACATTAAAGTTTTCTTATCTCAAAGAAGAAAGGTGCGAAGTCTATTTTATGTTTCAAAACATGATAATAATCAATCTCATTGAGCAATTTGAATAGAAATTGAATGGGAATCTAATCTGCTGTGTAAACTTTCACCGAAAATACAATAAAATATTATTTAAAACAGAAAAAAGGAAACTCAATAATAGATGGACTTAATAGATGGACTTCTACTCCAGCCCCAGGCAGGGTGTGCTGAGCTGAGTACTAGAGTCCCAGCAAGGAGAGGAGCCCACAGGGAGAGAACCCTAAAGACAGATAGAGGAGTCGCCCTGCGGGATTCAGCAGAGAACTGATCAGGGCATGCATGTAAAAACACTCTTCAGGCCTGGGGGAGGAGCCATCATCAAAGATTAGAGGAACAGCATCAGCACTCACTAAGAGCAGGGAACAGGACCTGTTTCCACCAGTTAAACTGGAAAAATTCTTAATTCATGTGGCACTGGGTAGATGACACTCAGAAATGTGTGATCTCAGTTGTTCTGTCGAGTGGGTTCTAACTCATAAAGACCCCGTGTAAGGTTTCTAAGAAGCACCTGGTGGGTTTGAATCACAGACCTTGTGGTTAGCAGTCAAGTGCTTGTCTTACAGCACCACATCAGGACTTTGCTTTAGTTGTTGTTGTTGTTAAGTGTCATCCAGTCAGTTCCGACACAGAGACCCTGTATAGGGTTTCCGAGGAACAGCTGGTGAGCTTGAACAACCGACCTTGCAGTTCAACCGGCTTTGCAGTCTGGCGCATTAACCCACAGCGCCACACCAGGACTCCCTTAGTATTAGGGAAAATTAGACTGAGCACTGTTCTGGTTGGGCCTAATAAATCATGAAACTAAGACATGGAAGTATTGAACTGTTTCCAAGTAATTAAATGTCACTCTAGAACAAATCTTAAGAAGACTTATAGGAACATAAAAATATCCAGTACCTAACAAGGTACTCAATTAAAGATCACCACAGGTA